ATGATTTAATATTGAGCTAAATCAATGGAAAAAGTACAGCTACATTCAATAAAAAAGGAAATATTTTACGGATTAATACATTTATTAATTATTTAGCATATCCCTCAGAAAGGCTTTATTCCTTTAAGCCAGAGGTATCATTCAGGTTCATTTCCACGGGAGACCCTTTAGGGAAAATCTTGTGAGCTTTGGGAGGAGAAAATCATTTACTATCTTTCAAATAAATTTCAAGATAACATAATCCTGCCTAGCAACAGCCTAACGTTGGGGATGCTCCAGGAAAATTAAAAGCAGACCCTGCTAGTAACGGCTCACAGACAAAGACATGTGACACATGTGGCACAGTGGGTATATCCCACTGTCTTAACATCCGAACTGTGTTAGTTCGAGCCCCGCGCTGGTGTGAGCAGCCAGCCTGTTGTCCCCAGCTCATCGTCCACGCAGCGATTCGAAAGCTTCGGCGAGTAGATAAAATGGGAACCACTCCTTAGAGAGGGTGGGCACGCCAATCTCCCTTATGGGAGGGTGTTAGCTGACGGTCGGGACTTCCTGGTTGAGGTTCGGAAAAGGCGGGGGGGGGGGAATTTCTCGGCCACGAAAAATCCCTGCAGTGGATGTTCCGGCCAGGCGGTGGCAGTGTGGCGATTGACATACGGGTCCTGAAGCCTGGTCGACAAGCAGCCGGGCGGAAAACGACGGAGCCGAACCAGAAGACGTCTACACCGGGCAGTGACGGCGTGTGCAATTAAATGAATATATGTTGTCTTCCCTATCCCCTACGAACATTGTTGGGTTTTTTTGTTTTTGTTTTTTAATTTTTATTTATATTTTACAAAACATATAATACATACATTAGTACTTCTGTACACATAATCTGAAGGAGTCATGATCAATTTTTTTTCCTTTATCCATTTATATATCTCTGCCCATCTTTCTTGAAATACCTTATCATCTTTCCCTTGCAAAATTACTGATAATTTGTCCATTTTTGCGACTTCCAATAGCTTCATAGCTGGTTCCTTTCTCTTAGGAATCTTTTCTTGTTTCCAATATTTAGCCCCTACGAACACTGTTAGTCCCTTGTCTATAATGAGTAACTGTACATCGCTTTGAGCCCACTGGGGAAGGCAATTAATAAATGGAAAGTATTATTATTATTATTACCTCCAGGATACGGAGTGGTGGTGGGGAAAGCGCCCTCCAGCCACAGCTGGCCTTTGGCGACCCCACAGGGCTTTCAGGAAAGACGTGGCCTGCCACTGCCTGTGCCTTGATGGCACACCTGAACTCCCTTGGAGGGCTACCATCCAGGTACTAACCAGGGCTGAGCCTGCATCGCTTCCAAGGTCTAGCTGAGATCACGCTAGCCTGGGCCAGCCCAGCCAGGAAACATAAACAATTATTATCTGGCCTCCACTATCCCCATAGCCAGCCCCACAGTTAGAGGCGATTTTATTGAATTTTATTTTATGACTAAAGGACGTTTTCGTTATTGTACAAAATTTAAGGCAAAAAAGGATCCCCTTTAAAAATAATCACATACTGCAGATAATAAAACAGCAAAAACATATTAAAAACCAAACATAAAAGTAATAAACGTGACAACAAAACATAATTACTGTAAGGTAAGACTTGTCTTTGCTTTTATCTTTGGTTTTTTGATGAAAAAAAGAACCAACCCGAGCCCTGCCATCCCTCGTGGAGGCCGTGTCGGGCTGGGCACTGGAACACTGTAGACTGATTGGCATCTGGATGGGGGCGGATTGGTAGTGATGTTGCTGTTGGACCTGTCAGTGGCGTTTGACATAGTCGACCATCAGTTACTGATCCACCGCCTCGCCGACACTGGAGTCCAGGGGCCTGCCTTGCAATGGCTGGCTTCCTTCCTTCAGGGTCGGGGACAAAGGGTGGCGCTAGGGGAGCAGCTATCCCAAAGGGACCCACTGATTTGTGGAGTGCCCCAAGGGGCAGTGCTGACCTCAATGTTATTTAACATCTACATGCACCCCCTAGCCCAGATTGCCTGGAGGCATGGGCTGGGATGTCACCAGTATGCGGATGACACCCAACTCTATCTGTTGTTGGGCAGCCAGTCTGACTCTACCCCAGAAGATCTGGACTGGGTGTTGCAAGATGTGGCTGGTTGGCTCAGACTGAGCCAACTGAAATTGAATCCAGCGAAAACGGAGGTCCTGTACCTGAGCTAGGGCAGCCCAAGGGTAGGGATCCTACTTCTGACCTTCGATGAGGCGCCATTGGTGCCAGCACCAGAGGTTAGGAGCTTGGGAGTGCTCCTGGATGCCTCACTAACAATGGAGGCCCAAGTAGCAGCCACTGCCATAAGAAAATAAGAGATGCCAATGTTGGATCAGGCCAAAGGCCCATCCAGTCCAACACTCTGTATCACACAGTGGCCAGAAATACCAGGTGCCATCAGGAGGTCCACCAGTGGGGCCAGGACATTAGAAGCCCTCCCACTGTTGACCCCCCCCCCAAGCACCAAGAAGACAGAGCATCACTTGCCCCAGAGCCCCTATCTATACCTTGTGGCTAATAGCCACTGATGGACCTCTGCTCCATATGCTTATATAATTCCCTTTTGAAGCCGTCCATGCTTGTAGCCGCCACTTCCTGTGGCAGTGAATTCCAATGCCAAATCAGCCTTTTACCACCTCTGGCTGATTAGGCAGTTGGTTCCCTTCCTTGAATACAACGACTTGGCAACAGGGATTCATGCGATAGTCACCTCGAGATTGGACTACTGCAATGCTCTCTACATGGGGCTGCCCTTGGCGCAACTCCGGAGGCTGCAGCTGGTGCAAAACGCGACGGCCAGGCTGTTGATGGGTCTCCCTATGCGAGACCACATCCAGCCTGTGCTGAAGGCATTGCACTGGCTGCCAATAGCATACCGGATTCGCTTCAAGGTGCTGTTTTTGACCTTTAAAGCCCTTTATGGTCAGGGACCTGCCTACCCGAGGGACCGCCTTTCCCCACATGTTCCCCAGAGAGCACTGCGGTCCGGGTCGCAAAATCGTCTGGCCCCCCCTGGTCTCAAGGACCCCAGGGGCCCTGGTCCTTGGCTTACCACCAACAGCCTTTGCTGTTGCCTAAATATAGAGACCAACCACCAATATACATCATCTGATTACAACACTAGTATTGGTTCTGCCTTCTGTAAGCACTGTTATAAGTACCTGGTCACTTACTAGCACTTTATGATAACGTAGAGTTTTATTATTTGTTTTAAGACTGTATATAATTTGTTACCTATATGTTTAATCTCTTTGTAAGCCGCCCTGAGCCCGCTCCAGCGGGGAGGGTGGGGTATAAATTGAATAAATAAATAAATAAAGTTATTCACAAACTCATTTGTTTCTCAACAGTCTTCTGCACTCCATCCACAAGCATTCCCCCCCCTTGCCCTCTTCTTCCATCGCTTTCTCAACTCCTTCTAGCATGAGCTGTGCCATGTTGAATCCCACAATATCCATCACCTCTATTTTCATTGTCTCATGTTTTAAGAGATTAATTGTGTTTCTATACTTTGTGGAAGATTTCACCGAATCACTTTTACTCTTAGGAAAATGGAAAAACACAAACTGCATTCACAAAAATCAAAGAAATACTGACTTTACTGACCATTTTAAAAAAAAAAAAACACTGACAAATTACTGACCAAGATGAAAAAACTGACTTTTACTGATTTTACTGACCCTTTTCCACCCCTGTAACTGGATACATTGCAAGACGATCCATTTCCAGTAAGCTTCCCCCCCCCCGCCCAACTCATGTGCTGGAAAGGCCAGCACCCCCACGCTTGGCTGCCCTACAAACCTAGCAATGGCAACTCTGCCTCCCAAGGAGCAGGATGCTTACAAGAGCAGCCAAGCTCAGCGAGTGGGCGTCAAGTGCCAGCCTTCTGAATCCCACGGCCTTGCTCGGGTCTTGCAGATGGAGGGCCTTTGTGGCTTCGGGGCCAATCTGTTGCGCACGTTGGGCCTGCCTCTTCTCCTGCTGCCTCCCAACTTTTCCTAGCATGATTGTCTTTTCCTGTGACTCTTGTCTCCTCATATGGGACCAAAAGTCAAGCTTTACAAACATTTTTTAAAAAATCAAATCCATTTTTGGAATGATGCCACTGAACTAGCTCTACCTGCTGAAGGCACTGGGATTCTCTCCCATTCTTTTGGGTCTCATTCTCGCTGTGCGGGCATCCTCCTTTCTGTCCCCGTCCTCGTATCGCCTTTCTTCTTTTATTTTAGAAATGTCACTCATGGGGATTACAGGGAGAGGCCCTCCAGACCACCCCATCAATCAAAGAAGCTCACCTGGTGGGTACACGAGAGACAGGGCCTTTTCAGTGGTAGCCCCACAATTACAAAACAGCCTCCCCAGGGAGGTGCGCCCCTTGCCTCCCCACTGTCAATTGTTAGGAGGCAGCTGAAGATGGTTTTATTTTAGAACTGTGTTTGATTAAAGCAATCCTAAACTGTGATTTTAAATTTTGGTTTTAATGCTTTTTATATTTTTTTTAATCTGTGTTGTAAGCCACCCGGAGCTCCATCAGGACGAAACACAGGTAATAAATATTTTAAATAAATAAATGAGGTCAACTGTAAGGTAAAGGTAAAGGTAAAGGTTTCCCTTGCTCGAAAGCCAGTCGAATCCGACTCTAGGGTTGCGGTGCTCATCTCCGTTTCAAAGCCGAAGAGCCAGCGCTGTCCGAAGACGTTTCCGTGGTCATGTGGCCGGCATGACTAAACACCAAGGCGCACGGAACGCTGTTACTTTCTACTATGTACTAGTACTACTGCACTACTATGTAAAAAGGCAGCTGAAGAGAAGTGGCTTCGGCATTTAAACATTTGCTACGCGCGTGACAGTTCATGTTGCAATGGGCAAGAGGGAAGCTGCTAACAAACGACTACAATTCTAGTCACTTCATTCATTAACACAATTTTATATTTCCACGATACAAAAACAGGCTTTAGACTCACCTCAGCCTCTGTTTGTAGTACTCTACGTCGCCATCGTCTTTGCATCGCTTTATGCTGCGCTTTCTGACAGAATCTTCTTCCTCTTCGTCGGAGCTTGGGGAAAAGTCATCCTCCTCGGGTTCTTCCGGAAACTCTGTCAGTGACGGATTTGTCCTTCTCCGCAGCGGAGGGTTCACTTGGTAGTCATCGGCGTCATCACGGACATGAAGCAGTTCATCCTCGGGGCCGGAAAGCTCTTCCTCACGGGCACATTCAGACTCTTCACTCTCCTCGGGCGGACCCGCTCCCTGTCTCTCCTGGGCCCTCGGAAGTCTGCCCTTGGACTGAATGTGGAGGACGTGGTTCTGCAGCTTCCTCATGTGCTTCTGCAGACAACCGTCTGTTTTGGACCGGCGCTTCCCCTTGTCCCCTTTGCCTTTGATGCCACGCCCTGGAGTTCTGGCTGGACCGTTCTCTGAACTCGCTTTCCGCTTGGCTCCCTTACGAACGGACGGCCTCTTCCTTTCAAAGGAGAGCTTGGCTTGATCCGCCAAATACTTGTCAAAGTCAGACGATTCATTGAGCATGACCCGGCGGGGCTTCTTCTCTTCCTTCTGGGGTATTTTTGTTCCAAAAGGAGTCATCTGACCAGTACGAATAAGTGCCTCCCACTCCGTTTCCTGCACTGGTGTAAGCATACTGCCAAGGGACGAGGGGCCAGCTTCTAAAAGAGGAGCCAGGAAAAAAAACCCAACAGATTTAGCCTTTTGTCACAAACAGCTTCAGAGGTGGAGAAAATCCATTTTAAAAAGGCTAAAAACCGGTTTTATTTTCATGCAGGAAAAGTGTTGTCTCTGACATTCTGAAGTTCCCTGTCACTCAAAGGAACAGTTTTGTTTTAAGCATATTGCATGAACAAATGTAAGGACTGCATGTTCAAAAGTCAGTCCATTCACATAGCAGGTGGACCAATACAGAGAAGTTGAGAAAACCAGAGAGGACAACAGGAAATGAAAAGCAATTTCTGAATCTGAGACAGAATCTGGGGGCATAAAAGCAAGGAGACGGGGGCCGCAGCAGGAACAGGAGAACAGACAACAACTTCGCTAACTAGGCACAACATGGTGGAAAGCGATGCCTCCAAAACAATAAGGCACAGGTTCAAGGTCTACTCCCATCCTCTGCTGCCACGCCTTCTCCTGAAACCCAACCAAAACTGGCAGGCAAACACAGGCTTATAACGACAAACATGCAACAGAAAAATGGTGTGCGGGAGGAAGGTCACAGCAGATGGAGCAACAGCTCAACTCACCAGGCAAAGGAATCAAACCTCAGATCTCCCAGAGGAATTTCACATTACCCTTTTTAACCCGTTTTGAAGGCGTTTTTGATCTGTCGTGGAGTAAAACGGTATAGGGCTGCCATTTCACACATGGCTTTCCCCTTCTGGTAAAGAGCTGGATCTGAAGCGGTTTGCCATTTCAGACTGCACCGCTTTTTCCCCGCCATTTTTCACCCGTGCGGGCGATCTCTAGCTTTTTTTTTTTTTTGAACGTTTGGTTTAGAGCGCTATAGTGCTATAACACAACACTCCCGGCATTCCAATGGAGTTGATATAATGCTGTTGTGTAATAGCGTTATACTGTTATAGCGCTATAAAGCAGACATTCAAAAAAAAAAAAAGCCAGAGATCGCCCGCATGGGTGAAAAATGGTGGGAAAAAGCGCATTGGAACCGGGAGAGGAAACTGAAGACTACTTGGATGTGGTTGACAAGTAAAACGCTTCAGCCCCGTTTCCTAAAGGGGACAGTAGCGTTTGTGTGTGAAATTACAAATATATTCTGGTAGGGAACTGGTTCTAAAACGGTTCTGTCTCAAATGACAGACCAGAAACCGTTTGGGAACCGTTCCTCTTCCAGATTATATCGTCTGTCTGAAATTCCTCCCAGTCAGGACAAGCCCATCTCAAGCAGGGAAAGCGCTCTCAGTCAAACCTCTGGCATCCTCCCACAGGCCTGGCTCGTGACAGCGTTTCTCCCCCTCCCCAGCAAGTAGATAGGTCCCTTGCGACCCTGCCAGCTTTGGGAGACACCCAGGAGGTTTTGATCCCTGAGGAGGTTTCGATCCCTGGCACGTTGCTCCAAGTGGAGACTAGAAAGAGGATTTTTAGATAAGAACGTGGGGAGCAATTGCAAGGCAGAGGGAGCGGCTCTGTACCACAGTCACCCAAAATTTCCCCACCCCTCCGTGGGCTGTGTGTCCTCATTTCATGTGTATTCTCTGCAGTGGCTCCCACCTCACAGAACTGGCCTGGCTGACGTCGGGAAGACCCTCCACCTGGGCCAGTGTCAGCATCCCGAGGTGGGGCAGCTGCCGGAGCCTGGGCGCCCAAATCATTGCCCTACCACCTCCTCCTCCCCGGCCCGCACGCCTGCAAGGGCTTTGCCACCTACATTTCTGGTTCCACATCCTGCCCGGCACTGCTATTGTGGCACTCCCAGCTGCGTGGACGACCCTGTATGACTGGAGAAATGGCATGCGGAACGCGTGAGCAGAGGGAGTGGGTGGGCTTGCAAATGGATGTGGGAAAGACGCACAGGCAGGGGGACACATGAGTGGATGGGTGGGTGGCATGAGCGGGGGCTCCTGGACACTCTCTGCCCCGGGCCTCCCAAATCTGGCAACTGGCCTGACCTCCACACTTACATCAATGTGCAAAACAGTCATGTCCAAGAAAGCATTTTGGTAAAGGGATTACATCTGTAGTATACTGGAACAGCACCAATGATTGCTTTGTAAGGGAGAGGTTTGTAGTCTTATCACAAGGTTTTCTATATGTAGAACCTTCCTTTTAACTGAAACCTGCTTTGTGCATTTTGTATTTCACACCCCAGACAGTCCCACCCCCTTTTTGTTTGTATTGTTGAACTATTCTGCAATCCCAGCCTTATTGCACAGTTCACTGAATACACTGATGCCTGATTGTTTCAGATTCCGTAATCCGCCCTGAATCTCAGCAAGAATTAAAACAGAATAAATACAGATACAGCCGTTGGTGGCCGACTGGGGGTTCATTTCCAACTGAACTGTGGGAAAGGATGGGTCAACAGTGGGAGGGCTTCTAATGTCCTGGCCCCACTGGTGGACCTCCTGATGGCACCTGGTATTTCTGGCCACTGTGTGACACAGAGTGTTGGACTGGATAGGCCTTTGGCCTGATGCAACATTGGCATCTCTTATGTTCTTATGTTCTTAAAGGGAGGCGGCACTGCAAAGTACTATCCACAACACACTGCTGTTCTCGTTTGTATGGCATAGAGCATTTCTTAGCATTATACATATTAAAAAACCTGAAACTGTCGATGGATAGCATTTCACTCCAAGATGTAATTCAGTCGTGGTGTTTGTCAATGTAAACACTTCCTTGCCGCTAATCTGATTAACACTTCCAATTTATTAAGAACAATGCTCTAGCGATTCTAGCAAACATCAGGAACTGAGCAGAGATTTATTTTCCTTCTTGAAGATTCCCACAAGGATACTCAGATGAGCAATTTCGCAGGTGCACAAGATTAAAGCAATCCTAAATTCCTCTGTAAAAAAGCAACCCACTGAACTTCATTAATTCACACAAACTTGAAAGAAAGGTATTCAAAGATCACTCCAGTATTATTCTGAAACCAGGCGCAAGGCCCGTTGCGGGAAGAGAGGCAACGAGCCCTAGATAGAGGCTGCCGGAGGGGGGCCCCCACGCACTGGCAAAGGAGAGCACGGCGGCTCCCTGGCGCCCAGGCTCGCGCCTCCCCCTGCCGCGCGCTGGAGGCGGCGGGGCAATCCAGCCGGCCTCGTCCCTCCTCTGTCGGCGC